AAGGACAAGTCAAAGGGCAAGTCAAAGGACAAAGATGGCAAGAAGAAAGATAAGAAAAAGCACAAGGAGGGGAAAGGATCGGGCAGCTCATCATCTTCTGATGAAGTAGGACCAATTTTGCCATTCTCCCTTTTTATTCTGATTTCCCAAATTTATTTTACGACATCTTCTTGGTCTTTAGCACATTTTTCACCCGTATTAAACTTTGGTTGATGGTTTTAATAGCCATAAATTGCAGCTCAGTTAACATACTGTTACACCTTCTTACAAAGGTTGACAACTGCTGTTATTGTGCAGTCAGTTTTAATCAGATCTGACACACCCACCCTCTCCGGTGTCTATGTACTGTTGTCAAGCAACTGTCTTCTAGATGTACTGATTCATTCTTAGCTGGTTAGACTGCAGCCAATTTCAGAGGAGTGTTTACTCTTATCAGCTTTGGTTGAATTCCTTTCATTTTGCTGTGGCTTTTATGTAGAGGAACCAAAGCTATGTGCTGTATGAACATTTAGTTTAACATGCAAATGACTAAAGCCAAAGAAGGAGGAGCCCCACTTGGGGTGGGACAAAGGAGAAACCGGTTAGACAAGTGATTCCTAAAAGAGCTGTTATCTAATTGCTTGCATGAAAGTAAACACGCTGCTCTTAGACCAGTATAACATTTGTCCTCCTACATGTCATTTCAGTGAATGTTAGAGGTTATGCTCCTTTATAGAATAATTCATACACTAAAGACACAGAATGAGCTGTTTGTTACTAAATCATGTGTCCTTTCTGCAGTAACACCATTGTCCTTTGTGTCACATTAGGACTGATGCCTCCTGTGAGATCGGACTGCCCTTTGAACTCTCTCATGAATGTTGTCTGTTGAGTGTGGGCGTGGTAGAGTGTGCAGTAGAAGCAGCTTTTCTTCTTGACTTGTCACTGGTGTCACAGATTCATACCAGCACTGTATACATATCTGCTCTTTCCTATAAGTAAATGTTCTGACAACAACCAAACCAACTGTACGTTTTGTGTGTTCCACTGATAAAGCCAATCAAAGTTCGAAGTTTAAAAAGTATGTGAAATTTGTCAAGATTTATACTATATACACTGCTGCTGTTTAATATTATAACAGTCTGTAAGAGGAACATTTGTAAGCATTTTGCAGTCA